GTGTATTATATATATATATATACACCTTGCTACGTGTACTGCGTTAGGCTAACCGAGACTTGTCATTTGCACTTACATATTGTTGCTCTTTTGTTAGTTTTGACTGCTTTTATTGTCTTCATTTGTAAGTCGCTTTGGATAAAAGCGTCGGCTAAATGACTAAATGTAAATATCTATAGAAAGCTTTAAATGACCACTTAACGAAATAAAACAAATCAAAAACAAAAACTCTTTCACTATGATCATAATCCGTAAAGATGCACTTCTCTATAAACACTAATAAACTAATAAACACTAGTTTATTATTAAATAATTCAAATATCTCCATACTATTTCCCCCTGACATATTCATGGTAATTATGTTTGCCGGTGCTTTGCGGTAAGCTTTAGCCTATTGATACTAAACAGCTACTAAACAGAGACGCTCTTGACAGTCGCTGTAGCACGGTCTCGTGTTGTTTCCATGAGAGAGGCAATTTTTTTTCATCACTAATTGATGGATGTCTAAAATATAAAAATTAGGAGATGCCTAAAACAGGCCCGAAGCCCACCCTGAGGGGTGTAAAAAAGTCGGGGCCCGGGCTGAAATGCAGGACTGAATCTGTCGAGTGTCTCAGTAAACAGCGGTAGAGTGTGGAGGTGAGCAGCAGAGGGCGCCGCAGACAGACAGTGACCTGAGCTTGGGTTTGGGAGTGCTGAGGATGCTGTCGGTCTCCTCCATCTCCGGCCCGCTGTCGCTGGGGTTGTACATCTCCAGACTGTCATAGAGCTCGTCCAGATCCTCCTCCACCTCCTGGATCTGCTCACGGGACACGTGCTCCAGCCCGAAACCCACCTGCACCACAAACACACCCCTAGTTTATTATTAAATAATTCAAATATCTCCATACTATTTCCCCCTGACATATTCATGGTAATTATGTTTGCCGGTGCTTTGCGGTAAGCTTTAGCCTATTGATACTAAACAGCTACTAAACAGAGACGCTCTTGACAGTCGCTGTAGCACGGTCTCGTGTTGTTTCCATGAGAGAGGCAATTTTTTTTCATCACTAATTGATGGATGTCTAAAATATAAAAATTAGGAGATGCCTAAAACAGGCCCGAAGCCCACCCTGAGGGGTGTAAAAAAGTCGGGGCCCGGGCTGAAATGCAGGACTGAATCTGTCGAGTGTCTCAGTAAACAGCGGTAGAGTGTGGAGGTGAGCAGCAGAGGGCGCCGCAGACAGACAGTGACCTGAGCTTGGGTTTGGGAGTGCTGAGGATGCTGTCGGTCTCCTCCATCTCCGGCCCGCTGTCGCTGGGGTTGTACATCTCCAGACTGTCATAGAGCTCGTCCAGATCCTCCTCCACCTCCTGGATCTGCTCACGGGACACGTGCTCCAGCCCGAAACCCACCTGCACCACAAACACACCCCTTCAGTCAGCACCTGCAGATCAACATACAGCCACATTCCACACCGTGTATGTGACCCTGGAGCACAAAACCAGTCATAAGGGTCAATTTTTAGAAATTGAGATTTATGCATCATCTGGAAGCTGAATAAAAAAGCTTTACATTGATGTATGGTTTGTTATGATAGGACAATATGTGGCTGAGATACAACTATTTGAAAATCTGGAATCTGAGGGTGCAAAAAAATCTAAATATTGAGAAAATCATCTTTAAAGTTGTCCAAATGAAGTTCTTAGTGATGCATATTACTAATCAAAAATTAGTAGGTAAGACATTTACAAAATATCTTCATGGAACACGATCTTTACTTAATATCCTAATGATTTTTGGCATGAAAGAAAAATTTATAATTTTGACCCATACAATGTATTTTTGGCTATTGCTACAAATATACCCCAGCGACTTAAGACTGCTTTTGTGCTCCAGGGTCACACATGACAAAATAACACAGCCCAGAGACAAGAGTTCACGTCTTTCCCATCTTTTTGAGGTGAGAATAGAAATGTGAGACGAAAAAATAAACATTTATATCAATATTCATAAGAAATCTGTATATCTATATATAAAAACATATAATTGCTAGTATTACTATTATGAACTGAATTGCATTTAGTTTTATATTTTCCATTTTTATTTTAATTATGATAATTGTATGCATTTTTGTAATTTATTTTTTCTTTAATGCAGCTTTATTTTTATTGCAGTTTTACAAATTTTTGTACTTTGTCACATCTCAGGTCTGTTGAAGTACGTGTATGTATTTCTGAGTGTGTCTGTGCACTCAAGCCAGCTGAGATCCTGATTGGTCTCGTCCTTGTTCCAGTGAAAAGGACCTCCCCCCAAACACTCTAGGAGGCCGAATGCGTGCCATTTGTTTTGCTCAAGCGGCAACCTCCCGCTCTCTCTCGTGAAGCCAACAAGGAAGTGACTTAAACTGTAATTCATCGACTGGCCGCTAGAGGCTGGCTCCAAAAGGGAGTCAATCCCATAGACTCCCCATGTTAAAATGCCCAACTTTACAGCAGAAAAAAACATGTTTACAGCCTGGTTCAAAAAATATAGCTAATTTTGCCGTTCATGACAACTGTGAATTTTTTTATAACTCATTCGTTTAAATTATATTAAGTCTTAAATTTCTGCATAATTAAGGGCGTGGCCACTTGAGTGACAGGTGGATTGCCGCCGCTGACACTGCTGTGAAGCTAGGTGGGCGTGGCTTCAGCAACCAGCTCCCGCCTTTTTGCCCATTTTCGATTATCTGAGAGTGACGCGCGGTGATGCGCTGCCAAGATGGCGACGGCC